TGGGCTGGGCTCTTGGTATATGGCCGGGAGGCTCATCCAGCCCTCACCAGGAGTTTTTTTTTTTTAAATCCCTGCTTTTAGTTGGGCTGGAGTGATAGCATAGTGGTAGGGCGTTTGCCTTGCACGAGGCTGGCTGGGCCGACCCGTGTTCGATTCCTCTGCCCCTCTCAGCGAGCCCAGCAAGCTACCAAGAGTATCTCACCCACACGGCAAAGCCTGGCAAGCTACCCGTGACATACTCGACATGCCAAACACAGTAACAACAAGTCTCACGATGGAGACGTTACTGGGCCCGCTCGAGCAAATCGATGAACAGCGGGAGGACAGTGCTACAGTGTAGTGCTTTTAATTTTTTAAGTCGCCCCTGTAGTTATACGGGCCACACTCAGCAGTGCCAGGTGGTACCAAGAACAGATCCCACTGGGGCTGCGACCTGGCCCAGCCAGAGGTGCTCACGCCTTCACAAGGGAGGGGGCAGTGTTTTCTACGTGAGTTACAGGGGCTTGGGGGGGACAGCAGGGAGAGGGCAGCTGAGGCCAGGTGAGCGGAAGATACACCCGCTTCCCATTTCTCTTTGCCTCGAAGGCCCACTGGGGTCCGGATCAGAACTAACGAAAAAATTCTAGAAGCTGGAGTGACAGCACAGCAGGGTGGGTGTTTGCCCTGCACATGGCTGACCCAGGTTCAATCTCCGGCACCCTATATGGAGCACTGCCAGGAGTGACTCCTAAGCACTGCTATATATTACATATATATGTATATATACACATATATATGTATATACATATATATGTATATATATGCTGGAGCGATAGCACAGCTGTAGGGCATCTGCCTTACAAGCGGCCAACATGGCCGATCCGAGTTCGATTCCTCCACCCCTCTCAGAGAGCCCGGCAAGCTACCGAGAGTATCTCGCCCACACGGCAGAGCCTGGCAAGCTACCCATGATGTATTCGATATGCCAAACACAGTAACAAGTCTCATGATGGAGACGTTACTGGTCCCACTCGAGCAAATCGATGAACAACGGGAGGACCATGACCAATACTACAGTCCTCAGGCCAGATTAGTCTTCCTAGCCCAGCAGGGCCCTGGCCTCGTCGTTACTTACTTTTGGATCATGACAGCATTTGTCCATGATCGTGCCCTCAACTTATAGTTGAGTATCGTGGCACTTTGGCCTGGCCCATTTCGATGCCAGGGTAGCTCACAGCTTGCCCTGGGTCCATTCAGTCCCTCGTTGGGACCCTGCTTTTGGGGTGCTAGGAACTAAGGGCAACTGAGTCAAGAAAGCAGATGCCCAGGAGTAAATATTATTCGGAGTCAATCAACTCCCAAGTTACAGAGCATAATATTAACTGTCTTCCTGTGTCCATACAGAAAGGACATTGCTTTAAGGTAAACTATGCAAAGGACATAACTTACAATACAAGTTCAGTGTGCTTAGAAGGATCTGATCTTACAAGCTAACAGAATCTGATTAGGGAGAAAAGGTGATTAACTGGCTGGGGAGGAGAGCACAGAGAAGAGTTTACAGATAAACAGAGGAATGGGAGTGACTCGGGAGCACTGTGATGGGTGTGACCCGATAAACATTGCTCCCTGTGGCAATGTTATTCTACACACTGCTGGTGTGTCATCCCCTCCCCCCTAAAAGAAAGGAATCTATTTGGGTACCTCATCCTGTGCCTGGAATACAGGGGCCTCCAGGCAGCTCCCGGGGCACACGGCCTCAGGCACGAGCCGCTTATGCTATTGGAAACAGCTCTGGGCTGACATGCACCCCAGCACCCCTCCCTCCCTCCTTCCCTTCAAATCCCATGCACAGCGGGTCAACCCTGCACGCTGGGTATGAGCACACTTCCCACACCAGAGATCAGAGCATCAAGAACGTGTGTGCTGACAAGAGGCCACCTTCCCCCCGAACCCTACTCGGGAAGAGACCACAGTGCAGCTGCTACTGCTGGTGGCGGTTGCAGCTCAGACAAAGCCCTGGGCTTCTCTGGGGGGGGTGCTGAGGGGCGCCCTGGAAGAGCAGGTGACATCTGGGCTGGGCACTGAAGGCTGCGGAAGGGCTTGTGGGATGCCCAGGGGGCAAGGCACTGGGCTTGAGGACAGGAAGACCGAAGGGAAGGCTCTCCCGGCCAGGAGATGGCCCTACCCTCGGGGGCCCTCTTTCCTGTGCCAAGGGGCTGGGATTTGCAAGTGGGCAGCCACCGAGTGACCATAAAGGAGGAAGCCGCTATGAAGTAAAAGTTTTTTTTTTCTTTAAAAAGGGCAAAACCGTAGCCCAGTGGGTAGGGCGTTTGCCCTTGCACGCGGCTGACCTGGGTTCGATTCCCAGCATCCCTTATGGTCCCCTGAGCACTGCCAGGAGTGATTTCTGAGTGCAGAGTCAGGAGTAATCCCTGTGCATCGCCAGGTGTGACCCAACAAGTAAAAATAAATAAATAATAAAACGAAAAAGGGCAAACCCAACTCTCGACTGCATACGGAGCGCAGTGGGGAACAGTTCCTGCCCGTGTGCTCCAGGGAGCGGCCACCGCAGCTGTGCATCTACTGGGCACTGTGAGGGCTCCGTCTGTTTAGGAGATCAGCACGATGGCCAGGACAGACGGAGAGACTGAGGCACGGGCGACGGGCCTCAGCGCAGTGCCAGAGCTATGTGGATGCGTCTTTGGCTCTGCCTTCTGCCAGGGCCCAGCTAGGCAGGCACCACAGACGCCCTTGAAGGGGGATCCAGCAAAGAAGTGCCCCCTCTTGCCTCCCCACCCAAGGGCGCAGCCAGCCGCTTTGCTGACGCTGCCCGTCTCAGGCAGGGCCCCGTTCGCGGCCGTCCCACCCTCCCCAGGCACCCCCTGGTTCCGTCAGCTCGGAGTTGCTCTCTCCCCAGCTGACTTTTGGGCACTTTCAAGGCAGACTGCCTCGCACACAGAATGCACTCAATAAATATTTGTTGAATAAATGCATAAACTGTCAGTTCTGCTTAGCGTCAGCTGTTCATGCCAACTCTCAGATTTTACTCTGCCGGGCCCCGTGCTGTAAATCAGATCTGAGCAGCCGGGGGCCTGCTGTGGAGGCAGGGGGAGGAAGCCCGCCCCCTAGGGAGACTGTGTCAGTCTGGGTGCAGCAGAGAGCCAGAACCAGCAGGGCACTGCGCGCGTGTGCGTGTGCGTCTGTACATGAGAGATGTGTTTTTAAGTATTTGGCTCACGTAATAGTGGCTGTGAGTAAGTCCAAAATCTGCCGGGTGGTCCAGCAGGCCTGCTACTTGGGCAGGAGCTCCATGGCGTTTGGAGGCTAACTCCTGCCTGTGCCTTGTTCACCAAGCAGGTGACCACTGTGTTGCCAGCACGTGGTCCCGGCTGTGTCCCATAGCTTAGGGGTGCCCCACTGGCCCCCACAGGGAGGGACACAGCCTTTCTCTGTGTTCTAGCCTGGCTTTCCTGACTGACACCACAGAACCCACAGCCCCAGAAGATGCCGGGGAACCAGGCAGGTGAAAGCACCGGACCCCGGGTCTCTCCCCTGAGAACATCTTCCACAAGACTTCCCTCCCCAGCAGGACAGCCCTATCCAGATGGCAGTACAGGCCGCCACAAGACTCCTGTTCCCAGCCCCCTGGACATCCCCCACGGGATGGGTCCAGGTGCTTCTTCCCCCAGCCCAGCTGTGAGTGCTCCTGGGTCCCAGGTATGAGGTTTCACAGGTTCAGTGGGTGGGCCGACGGACCCAGACATTTGGTCAACCACTGGCCAGCTGCAGGTGTCTCATGGACGTAACTCGCATCTCTGATCCGTTGCCTGGGATTTAAGGAGATGCTGCTCTGGAAATGGTGCAGGGGCCATTCCAGTCCCTGCAAGACTTGGGAGCGAACCCACGTGTCCCAAAGAAGGGACACTCTTGCCATGCTCCCCCACAGCTGCAGTGTCCTTCGAGATGTGAGTCCGTGCCCATTCTCTGAGGTGTGAGTCCGTGCCTGTCCTCTGAGGTATGTGTCCGTGCCCATCCTCTAAGGTGTGTGTCCGTGTCCATCTTCTGAGGTGTGAATCCATGCCCCTCCTCTGAGGTGTGAGTCCGTGCCCCTCCTCTGAGGTGTGAGTCCGTGCCCCTCCTCTGAGGTGTGAGTCCGTGCCTGTCCTCTGAGGTGTGTGTCCATGTCTGTCCATTGAGGTGTGTGTCCGTGCCCATCTTCTGAGGTGTGAATCCATGCCCCTCCTCTGAGGTATGAGTCCGTGCCCGGCCTTTGAGGTGTGAGTCTGTGCCCGTCCTCTAAGGTGTGAGTTTGTGCCCGTCCTCTGAGGTGTGAGTTCATGCCCGTCCTCTGAGGTGTGTGTCTGTACCCATCCTCTGAGGTGTGAGTCCTTGCCCGTCCTCTGAAGGGTGAACTGAAGTCCATCTTTTGAGGTGGGAAACTGCGTCCATCCTTCAGTGCCTAGGAGTGTATTTTCACAAACACAGTCTGACACTCTCTCCACTCACTCTAGTCAACCTAACTTAAGATGTCCCTCCTTGTTCTGAAAGGTGACACTCGGGGCAAGCACCACTACAAGTGACATTAGAGTCACTCCAAGTTTCTAGGACAGAGAACCGAGAAGGAGTCCTCACCCCTTTCCGGGTGCAGTGTCCCGAGTGGAGAGGTGGACATGGGGGTACAGTGAAGTCCTTGAAAACGTTGAGGTGACTTCTCGCGGCATAGGCCCCCACCCTGAGTGGGTCCAGTTGTCTGAGAACTGTCCCCAGGGGTTGACTCGTCCCTCGCAGCCATCCTGATTCAGGGAGGCAGAAAGGAATTCTCCCGCAAAGCCCGAGAGTGTGTCTCCCCCCGCCCTTCCTATTTCCCAGTCCGAGCTGATGGGAACGAGAAACGGCCCTGCACATTTGCATGTAAGTCTGGCAATCTAAATATTTCTATGAGTCACTCATTATTCCCATGTAGCTGTGTTTGCATGCAAATAACGCTGATGACATAAACGCTCATCAAATAAGTCTCTTAC